GGCCACAGCAAAGCTTGGGGGAAAAAAATAAATAAAAATTTTATTAATCCATCATTCTAGAGACTAAGGTTAGGATTCAGGTTTGGGGCTAACGTCAAGAATTGAGTACCACAACCTCAGAACCTATTATTGTTAACCTAACTTAAAGCTTAATAAGAGCAGGACCGATATCCCATTTAAGTCAACACTGGTTCCCTATGAGGTTTTTCCTGCCAAATTTGAAAGTATCACAAGTTTTTACTTTATTTGCATGCATGTATGTGTGTACATGTGTATATGGACATGTGAAGGTCAAAGGACAGCTTATCAAAATTGGTTCCCTCTTTCCACAAAGTGGGTCCTGGGGATTGAACTTAGATCATCAGCTTGGTGGCAGGTGCCCTTATCTGCTGAGCCACCTTGCTGGCTATAACTGGGTATTCTAAAACTTGAGTTCAGTGCCCATTGAGCTTGGATGAAGTATCATCACATTTGTAAAATACACAGCATGTTCCTTCTCAAGAATGGAGCTAGCACTCCTTCTTTGGTTAAGGATGCCCTGGCTCACAGTATTCCTTGTGACATAGTTGGCGATGAGTCTGTTTAATATAAAAATATGCACATCCATAAGGCAACCATGTTAAAAATTTAACCACTGTTGCTTTCAGATCTCCTGAGGAATAAATTAAGACTTTTAAGAAAGTATCTTTGCCTAAAGAAAGCATGGAAAATTAAGCCCCTCACAGTAAAAATCCTGCATTAAAAACAAAGTCTTCATTAAGGCTAGGACTTTCTTGCAAAGCTAGGCAAGGGATGGATCTAGCTAGCTCTTTAGGGACCACAGAATGCCTTTTCTTCTTCAGAAAGCTCACAAAGGCCTATTACCTCCAGCATACCTACAGTGAGACACAAAGAGGCTTTCTGATCCACTCCAATAGAAATGGCAAGTGTCCCTCATGATTTAAGACTAGAAAAAAAAATTAAACCTTTTGAAAATCCTAGTGTGACAGCAAAATAGAACTCAGGAGATACCCTGCTAGCATATTCAGACACTTAGCAAAGTCACTCTATCTCAGCCCCAGTTAATCTGGTAAGAATACACATTTGGACTTTTTGAATATACAAATACAAACCCATACATAGAAGAAACCAGACCAAACCCCTCAAAAGCCAGCCATTTTACAGTAGAACTCAGAAAACAGCAACATCTCCTGACATGGTAGTTACTTCCTGTTTTCTCTCCACATTTGGAAACCCCTATTCCAAGGTTAACAGAACTACTACAAAAAAACAATGACCTCCAGAGTAGCACCAGAAAACCAAAAGCTACAGTATCACCTCAGAACAAAACCAGCAGTCAACAGTGAAAGGAAAGGGCTATAACTGCTTCTCAAAGGTAGTTTTCCTCCATAGTATTTATGGGAGAACTGGATGTAGGTCAGACTCTAGATAGCACCAGCCTCCATCTGGGGCCTATGTTCCCATTCTTGTAGACCTCTCTGCCCATCAAGTTCTAAGGAGTCAGAGAAGATGCAGAACAATAGCACTGTCTCCAAGATACCACCATGTTCCATTTGGATTTCCTTTGGCTTTTGTTTTTGAGTATACTGTCACCAATACACTCAACAATGACTCTGCAGGAGGACAGACATACATCTACAGATGAACATATAATAAACCAGGGACTACATGACTTGTTCACTTTATCATGCGCCCAGCCTTCCCACTTACTGTACAGTAAGTTTCCAGGATATTAACTACTTCCTTAAGTTACAGATGAGAGAGGCCAGAGTGATGTCTTAGAGCACAGCTGACATAAGCAACATATGCCTATAACTGAAATGCAGAAGGTGAAAGCAAAAGGATTAAGAGTTCAAAGCAACCTGTATTACATAAGCTTGAGGCCAGTCAAGGTCACATAAAGACCATGTCACAAACACATAATAATGAAATAAACAAAGTACTAAATAAAAAGAGCCAGGGTCCTGGCACTGTCGGGCTACCACCCCAATCCTGCCTCTGCTACTTTCCAGTTACCTGTCTGGGTTCTTTACCTCCTCTGCAAACTGGGAGCAGACTTAAAGTGATAAACGAGATAATGGACATAAACCATTAAATTTTTTCATTTGACAAATACCCGTGCCAGGCATAGTGTAAGACTTACAGCAGTGACCAAGAGATAGTTCTGATGTCACAAAGCTAGGAACTTAATCAAACTACAAGAAAAATAAGTAAGCAGATACATAAATGTTTATAAAACGTGCTTTAAAAAATTAAGGTGAAAACAATCACAGGGAAGGGCCAGATGTTAAGAGTGGCCTCTGAGGAGAAATCTCTGTTGAACCCTAAGGGGTCCATAGGCACTATCTATGTGAAGAATGGAAAAACCAACATTTCTGTCATAAAGACCTCAAGATGTACAAGGGACACAGAGTGCAGAAGGCACAGGAACACGGAAGACAAATGCGATTGCAAATCCCTCTCATAAGGTTTTGGAGAAAACCATTACAAGCTGCCACCACTGAGGATTACCACATCTATTTTTAAAATAACAAAGATGAGCCTTAGGAAAGGTGCTGTGTCTTGTCCAAGGTCAAAGCTACTCAGAAGAGGACCTATGGCTTGAACCCTTCAGTATTTTACTTCCATACATAGCATAAGCCCGAAGCTTTGACTTATTTCACTAATGACAACTTCTGTGCTGTGAGGAGTCTCCAAAGCACCTTGAAAACACGAGTAATAACACCATGTCAGTCTCCAGACATCTGGTCAATCAAGCGCTGAAAGCCCTACCGATGGAATCTTACCACACAAGAGCAAGAGCTGCTCAGACCTGACCCAAAGGCTCCAAAGTGGAAACGGCTTCTCTTCTTGCAGCCATGAACAAGAGAGAAAAGGATGCCCCAGAAAATTCCATGGTGTGTGTTCCAGGAGTCAGAACCACTGATGCAAATGAGCACTCCCCTCAAGTGAACAGCACAGGAAGAGCTAATTACTCTGCTTGTACAAAGGAATGAGTCCCTTACAGTGGTTCTTGGTCTGGTTGGTACAGCCACCCCAGCAAAAAGCAGCTGGGAAATCATAGAGGCAGTTTGAGGTGAACTGCAGGATGCCCTGGGCATTCAATAGGCTCAAAGTCTAATAAAAGGACAGGATGGTCCTATATACTAAAATAAATATACTAAGAATAAATAAATGTATTGTTTATAATGTAATAAGAGCCAGACACAAATACTTTAGAGACCCTGAAAAGATTAATATCTCCAACTTTTCTTGTATTCCCATTGTTTAATGGTGTTCCCTCATCTCAGGCCTGAATGCGGGTGTGGGGGGGGGATGACGGAACTCTAAGGCTACATAGCTGAAATGTTAAATTTTGGAATTCAGTTGTAAGCTCATAACTTTATATGGGAACCTGGCAGTGGAACAAGAATAAATAAGTTTCTACTAAGAGACAGACTTCAGGAATCTTACCCAAAAGGTAACTCCTTTTCTCACTCCTCCATACAAGCCTTTATAAAGTGAGCTGTTTGCTACAGTCAAAATTCTGTGATTTTAGAGAACCGATTTACACTATTTTCAGTTTTAATGACAGTTTATTTTACAAACATAATCACAACAGTCTCACAAATACAGTTGACTCCTTCTGGATTCAACTATTTAAGGAAGATTATTAATTCCAAGATGCCTAACGAAGAACAAATGCCTAAAGGGCACGGCAGGCAGACATGCCTTGTATCTGATTTCCAACTGTTTAATTAAAGTCACAGAGGCTCTGAACTAGCCACTATCCCTCACCAAAGTTATTTCAAAATTTTAAGGTTATGGAATTGACCTTAAGAAAGAAAAAAAAAGAGACCCCCCCCCAAAAAAAAACCTACTGTTTTGAAATAGCTACAAGAGTAATACCACAGGTAAATCTTCTATAATGTACCCTAAGGATATGAGAAAGCTTTCTCCTACACAGTGCCTAAAATTTCTCAACTCACCCAAAAGAGTCGGAATATGTAACTTCTTCACTTCTACTGCTAATTAGCAAACAGCAGTCCCACACCCATTTTGACCAATTTTCCAGAAGCCTGCCCTGCCTTCTCTGGACAGCCAAGCAGACAGACCTGTTTTCCTCTAGAAGAGCCTGCCAGGCCTTTTTTGCCCTACCAGCCAGAGCCTGGGAAGTCCCCCTCTAGCCTTTTCCTGGCCTGTCACCAGAAGTGCACAGAATGAATTTATCCAGACTCTTCCCCAGTCATGTGCCAATTGCTGGGCAATAATATCCCACCTTGCTGGTGCTTTGTTTTAGAAAAAAAAAAAAAAAAAAGATGCAGATTCATTGGAAGAGCGAGCACTTAGCATGGAGCAAGAGAAAAAAGATGGAGGGATGTGAGAGTCACTGAGCCAAATCTACTGAATGCAGCATGAGAGACCAGACCGCTGGTCCTGCAAATCCAAGAAGGAAAGCTTTCCATATAGCAGACCACACCTGTCTAAGCCAGCCTACTGATCCATTTTAATCAATTTATACAGCTACCCAGCTGGGTGGAAAAACCAGCCACCTCCCTTTCCTAGCAGAGGCAGGAACCCTAGTCCAAACCACTTGCCCCCTAGTTTTATTTCTCACTCTTTGTTCAGGAGACACTAGGTCCCTAACCAGACAGCTAGGCACCATGCTGTAGTGGCAGAAATGAATAGTCCAAACTGTAAACCAGAGAAGAAGCCTCTTTCTCTGAGGATCATGATGCTAATAAATGGGACTTCAATGGGCAGGTTTCACTCTGCCATCCACAAGTGAACACATGTCTGCAGTCCTAAAACGCCCGGCTTCGCAGCCTGGTAGACAGCTTTTTCCCCAGGCAGTAGTTATCCCACTTGATCCTATTCATCCTCTGGCATAGAAGGAGCCACAAGGGAAAGGCAGGAGTTAGCTTCATACCCACAGCTTAGCACACTAAGAGGTTTGGGGAGCCCCGGCGCGCCCTCCCTTGCACTCCACCCTTCAAGGCCTCCTTCGCGCGCGGACTCACCACTGTGCGAGCTGAACCACCTGGGTGCGATGTGCAGAGGTAGAGCATCCGCCAGCGAGGCTCGGGAGCCCAGGTACAGCATCCCGTCTCTATGGTGACCGCCGCCTGTCTCCTGGTAACCATTGCCGTGAGCATAGGTGGAGTCCGACGTGGACCCTCCGCCGCCCGGCGCCCTCTCTGAGTCGCCGGTCCCGCGGGAGGCGGTGGTGTAGAGGCCAAAGGGCACCCCTCCGGCCGTGCTGGGGTCCATGCCCATGCCCGCCACCGAGCTGACCGAGCGGCTGCGCAGCCCCATAGCCCCGCCGCCCGTCCGGTAGTGACCAAAGTGGGGCGCTCCTCCAGGCGGGGGCACGGCGCTGTCATCGGTAGAGACCCCCGGGAAAGGGCCCCGAGAGCGGGCCGCCGTGCTCTGCTTGCCCCCCATGCTCGCCCGGGCCCCGGTGGGGCGGGAACGTGGAGGCCGAAACCCTCCCCCACTACTCAAAAGCTGGTGGAGAGCTGGGCGAACATAAAGGGGGTGGGGGTTACAAAAGAGCCCGGAGGGGAGGAAATGAAAAAAGCAAGAAAACCCTCAGAAAATCCTCGGAGCGGAGAAAACAAGCGAGCGGGGACCCCAAACTAAGAATTTCAAACAGTCCAAGCCGAATGCATGTTCTCCTTTAAGGTCCGAAGACGCGCGGTCCGGAGCGCCACAGGCCGCCCCCGGGCTAGAGAGCCTGAGGAGCCGCAGCGAAGGGAGGGAGGCGCCGGAGGAGGCCGCCCGCCCGCCCGCCCGCCCGCAGCAGGAAGCGGCGGAGGCTCGGGGCGCCGCGCGCGTCCCCGGTCTCAGGACCCGACGACCGGGGCCGACGGCCCGGACTCCTCCAGGCCTCGGGAGGGCTCGCGGCGGTGGGGAAGCCAGGCGGAGCTCTGGAAGCCGCGGTCGCGTGGCGTCGCGCTCCGGCTCCAGCCGCCGCCGGCCCCGCCAGCCAGCCGCACCGCCCCGATCGGTCCCAGGCTGCGCTCGCCGGCGCTCCTCGCCGCCGTGGAGACAATGGAGGGCGGCAGAGCGCACGCGCGGCCCGCCTTTACCCCCCCTCCCCCCCCGCCGGGTTAACCCTTTCGCGGCCCCTGCGGCGCCGCGGAGCGCTGCAGCCCTGGAGGTCCCCACCCACCCGCCGCCTGCGCCCCAGGCGGTCCTGGGACCGGAGAGCTCCAGCCGTGCGGGGCGTCTGCGACAGAGGCCAGACTTCTTCCGCAACTAGCACGGCTAGAGTCGCTGCCAAAGTCGAGTCACTAAATTCAAGAAGAGTCCTTGAGTGGGGGAGGGACGCCGACGGTTCTAGTGGGTGGGAAGGAAACTAGAAAGAAAACCAACTAAGACGTCTACCTGGGCTTCAGGGTCATTGGGCGAATTCCCCTCCTGCCACAAACCTGCCCTCACAGCACCCTCTGGTGGATGTGCTGTCCGTTCGTTCGGAGGTTCCCGTCCAAGGACCCCAACCAACATCAGGAAGTTTAACATTTTGGGGGGGAGTTAGCTTGGACCCAAACGTCGGGAGCCATTTGGGGTTAGTCGTTAGGAGATACTACAGTGCCCTGGAGGCACACAGGAATCGGGATTTTGCTGACAGATCAGAACCAACTGTTTGGGTCCAAGGAAACCAGTCGATTCTTTAGGCTAAAATGTAATCCTAAAAAATCAATGGGCGCATAAAAAGCATGGAAATAGAACAAGGCAGCTAAGAAGTGGTTTTAGAAACTCCTTGTCCAAGGTCGACTCCTATTTTGTTTACCACGTATTTTGACATAGAGCCACAAGGCAAGGACGCCGTGAGTACTCAATAAATATTTGTTGACCAAATTGCACTTTGCAACAGAGAATCGCCTTTCCGGTCCAGTCCCAGTCTTTCTCATATATTCACGATCGCTTATTCTTTGAACAAATAATTTCAACTGCTCAGGGCTGGATGTGCGCATCACCCAGTCCCTAGCCTTGCTTCCTCTGTCACTTTGTCAAGTGTGCCAGGTGCTTCCAAAAATGGAGTGTGGAGGGTGGAGTTGGAAAGAGATAATAGACCTTTTCCAGTGTGGATAGTCTGGAAGGCCTCAAGAAGATGACTATTTGCAAGCATGGGGTGGGTATCTAGGGTGAACAAGAAGCTATGAACAATGAAGTTGAGAATTTTGTAAGAAAAACTAGTACAAGAAATATTGGGGCTGTGGTGCATGCCTTTAGTCCCAGCACTCAGTAGGCAGAGGCAGGGGGATCTTTTGTGAGTTCAAGGCCAGGCTGATCTACAGAGAAAGTTCCAGGACAGGTTCCAAAGCTATACAGAGAAACCCTGCTTTGAAAAATCAAATGTGTTTGTGTGTGTATGTGCTGCAGAGATGGCTCAGGGGTTAAGAGCACTTGTTGCTCTTGCAGGTGCTCCAGGTTCATTCATTGCACCTATGTGGTGATTCACAACCATCTGTAACCCCAGATCCAGGATACCCAACAAGCATGGACATGATACACTACATGTGTGCAGGCTAGGCATTCATACACACAAAAAAAGTAAATCTAAAATTTTATTTAAAAATATAAAACACATTTAGATAATATCCATGATATTATCTGTGTCTAAATCAGGAATGTGTGTACTTCTAAAACAGAAATGAGTGATTTGAAGAAATAGAAAAAGAAACTTACAGAGTCTGGAGAGGTGGCTCAATAGAAAGTATATTGCTCTTGCAGAGGATACCTGAGTTTGATTTGTAACTCTAATTCCAAAGAATCTGATGACCTTTTTTTGGTTTCTGCTGGCATCCACACATAAGTAGCACTCATATAAACACACAGAAGCAAAAATAATAAAAACAAATTTTCTACTCAGAAGAAAGACTATGGTATCAGAAAAGGGTTGGTTCAGTACTGTATAGAAAAAAAAAAAGGTTGACACATCTTTTTTTTGAATACATTATAACCATCTTAACAAAGTAGCTTTTGACCTTATTCATTTACTCTGTGTGTGTGTGTGTGTGTGTGTGTGTGTGTGTGTGTGTGTGTGTACATTTAATAGTTATCCCCCCAACTCAGATGCAGAAGAGTGAAGCTAGGGCTTCATGTATGCTAGATATGTACTCTATCAGTGAGCTATACCAAAACTAATATCTGAAGAGTTCCAGGCACTCTCCTACATTCTAGGATATAAGATCAACAAGACAGATGGAGTTCCCCTTCTCGGAGCTTCAGAACAACCACTTTGCATTCACCTGAATTACTATAATCAAAGAAAACCGGTAACAGCTATTGAGAAGGGGAGAGATCAGCCCCTCATAACCTTCCTGCTGGAAACATTAAATAGTTGATTGCTTTGGGAAATAGGCTGGCAGATCATCAAAAAGATTAGAGCTGGAAGCCAGGCATTGTGGTACACACCTTTAGTCCCAGCACTTGCGAGGCAGAGGCAGGTGGATCTCTGGGAGTTCGAGTCCAGCCTGGTCTACAAAGTGAGTTCCAGGTCAGCCAGTGCTACACGGATAAACCTTGTCTCAAAAGAAAATAGAGCTCGGTATGGTATGGTGGGCACACATCTTCAATCCCAGCATCAGGGAGACAGAGACAGGAAGCTAACTGTGAGCTTAAGTCCAGACTGGTCTACATAGTGAGTTCCATGCCAGCCAAAGCTACACAATAAGTCCATGTCTCAAAACAAACAAACAAACAAAAAAACAAAAACAAATAACAAAACACAGAAAAATGAGATACAATATGACCTAGCCATTCCATTATTAGGTATATATTTTCCTTTTTATTTTTACTTTTTTATTTTTTGGTTTTCTGGGCAGATCTGGCTGTCCTGAAACCACGTGTGTAAAACAGGCTGGCCTGGAACTCAGAGATTCATCTGCCTCTGCTTCCTGAGTTCTAGGATCAAAGATATGCACCACTACATCTGGCTTTTAAGTATATTCCTAAGGAAATGGAACAAACATCCACAAAAGAACTTATACAGACAGGATGTGCATAGCCCCATAGCCCCATTACTTGGTTTTGTGTGTGTGTGTGTGTGTGTGTGTGTGTGTGTTAGTTCAAGTGTGGAGGTACACAAGCATTTGGAGACCAAAGGTGGATATAGGATGTCTGCCACAATCACTTGTCTGCCTTGTTTGTTGAGATAGGCTCTTCATCAACCCTGAAGTTCCCTGATTAGCTAGACTCCTTAGCCAGTAAGCTCAAAGGATCCTCCTCTTCCTACTTCCCCAGCACTGGGATTACAGATTCACACAGTTGTGGCTGGCTTTTTCGGTGGGGCTCCTACTAGGTATGGAAAGTGCTTTACTAACTGAACTATCTCTCCAGGCCTGGTTTTATTTCATTTTGTATTTTGGAGACCAGGTATTACATAGCTCAGGTTAGCTCTTTATTCTGTGTGTAGACAAAAATGACCTTGAATGTCTGATGCTCATTCCTCTATCTTCCAAGTACTAGGATTATAGACTTATACCAGCACATCAAGCTGCAGCATTGTTTGAAATAACCAAAAAGTGGAAACAACTCAAAATCATCAACAGATTAAAGCAATAATGATATCTATACAATGAACTAACATTATATCATAAAAAGAAAGTACTGATAGATGCTACAACACAAATGAACCTTGAAAACACAATGGTAGATAGAAGAAGTCAATCATTTAATAATTGTATTATTGTATGGTTGTATTATTTTGCTTGCATGAAATGTCCAGAATAGACTAATCCATTGAGGTAGATTAGGACCACTAGGGCCTGAAAGGAAGGATGAAGAGTGACTATTAGTGGTTTTTTTTTTTAAGTGATAAAATGTTCTGGAATAAGAGTTGCATACCCTTTTGAGTATACAAAAACAAAAGCAAACAACAACAACACCATTGAATCACACATTTGTGAAGATAAAGTTTACTATAATAATATATATCTGGACTGGGTATCTAGATCAATGGTAGAGTGCCTGCCTGATGTCTTAGTCAGTTTCTATTGCTGAGAAGAGTCACCATGACCATTGAAACTCTTACAAAAGAAAACATTTAATTGGGGCTGGCTTAAAGTTTCAGAGATTTAGACCATTATCATCATGGCAGAAAGCATGGCATTGTGCAGGCAGACATGTTACTGGAGAGTTACTGAGAATTCCTACATCTTGATCATCAGGTAGCAGGAAAAGCATTAAGTGCCACTGAGCCTGGCTTAAGCAAATGAGAGAGACCTCAAGCCCTCCTCCACAGTGACACACTTCCTCCAACAAGGCCACACCTCCTAATAGTGCTACTCCCTATGGGCCAAGCACTCAATCACATGCACCTATGGGGGCTGTTCCTATTCAAACTAGTACACCTAGCATGCATACCCAAGGCTTTAGTTTCAATCCCAAGCACTCCAGAAGGGAATCCCAACAGAAAGAGATGAAACAAGGATGATCTTGAACTTCTGATTTTCCTGATGCTACTTCTCAAGTGCTGGGATTACAGGTTTATCATTGGTGATGCAATATAGATCACTGTAGAGCAGTACTTGGCATGCACTGTCAAAAATATTTGCTATCTGAATGGTTATGTGTCATGAGATAGAAAGCACCGCGCTGATTAAAAGTCAGACAGGGGACCAGAAGAAGGGCAAAGACTCTATGTGGAGACATGAAAGATGAATTAAGAGCCTGAAGATGTAGCTCAGCTGGTAGAGTACTTACCTAGCATGCACAGAGTCATGGGTTCAATCCCTAGTACTGGATAAACTGGGCATGGTGGTATATAACTATAATCTCAGCCTATGAAAAGTAGAAGATCAGAGTTCTATGTCATCCTCAGCTTTTAAATAAAATTTCCAGGTGTTTTTCTCCAACCATGCCTTGAGGAAGGGACTATCCCAAAGCTTGAAGAAATTGAGAAATTTGAATGTGCCCCATTTTAAATTAAGACAAGTTCCCTCTTCACAACTAAAGATTTATGTGCTTTCAGCACATACATGAAGATATTTATGTATATCCACATATGTAAATTGGAAAGATACATGAAGTAGCATAGTGGTCCCTTTGGGAGAGAG